GCCCTTTATGGCCAGGGACCTACATACCTGAGGGACCACCTTTCCCCATAGGTACCCCAGAGAGCGCTGTGATCAGGGGCCCAGAATCGGCTGATCCTCCTGAGCATTAGGGAGGCCAGGCTGGCATCAACTAGGGCCAGGGCTTTTTTGGTGGTGGCTCCACTCTGGTGCAATGAACTCCCAGAGGAGATCAGGGCCCTGCAGGACCTTCTACAGTTCCACAGGGCCTGTAAAATGGAGCTCTTCCACCAGGCCTTTGGAGCCACCGCCGCCACCACCACCACCACCACCACTACCACTACCACCACGACCACTGGTGGCCACCAACAATAACTGACATGCTATGGTAGAAGAGCCCTGATCCGCTGGACCCTTTAATCACTGCCCCCCAATCCGCCCAAAAAACAACTGAGCAGACCAATGGAGCTGACGATAAAAAGTGAGGAAATTATACTAGCTATTATTATGTTTGGTTTTAATTTTGTATTTATATTACATGTTGCTGCGTTTTTATAAGTATGGGTGGTATTCTGTTTCTGTAAGCTGCCCTGAGCTGGCCTTGGCTGGGAGGACAGGATAAAAGTTTAATCAATCGATGGATCAGTCAAGAATGAGAATTGAGAGCAGCAGGCAAGGCAGAAGAACTAACACTAGCCATTCGCTGTGCCCCCAGTAGCAAGAGGGATCTGTGGGGCACTACCCTATGACTGTTACCTTATGAATTGTTTGAGAAAGGCAGGCCAAAAATGTCTCAGATAAAAACATGGTAAAATAAAGTTAAATATGAACACTTCATGAACATTCCACACGCTTCTAAATCAGTTGGCTCCATGATGTGTCACTCAGAAGCTGTCCCTGTCCACTGGCTGCGTTGCCTGAATCTCACCTCCAATATTCTAAACAGTTTGTTGTTCCTCTCTGCCCAATAGCCAGTCGGAACACAGAGGTCATTTGCATATGCGGCCTGATTGGCCTTTGCCTCTAACATTCTAAACAGTTTGCTGTTGCTGTTGGGAGTCATTGAATGTGTCCTGAGGTAAAATGCATATCCCAATCTTCCCATAAATGGTCACTGGAGTTGCCAATCTCCCTGTGGGGCCTGGAGATCTCCCAGAAATCACCACGTTTCCCAGCCGCAGCACATCATTTCCCCTACAGAAAATTCCCCAGCTATTACAATTGCTTTGGGCAGTGGACTCTATGGCATTATAACCTGCTGAAGACCCTTCACACCCCAGACCCTGCACTCCCCAGGCTCTACCCCTCAAATCTACAGGTCTGGCCCTCTCCTTAGTATCGCCAGCCTCTAGGAAGCAACTGGAGATCTCCAAGATCAGTTCTGGAGAAAATGTGTCCTTTGGACAATGGACTCTATGGCATTATACCCTGCTGAGGTCCCTCCACACCCCAAACCCTGCCCTCCCCAGGCTATACCCATCAAATCTACAGGTCTGGCCCTCTCCTTAGTATTGTCAGCCTCCAGGCAGCATGTGGAGATCTCCAAGATCAGGTCTCCTGGAAAAAATGGCTGCTTTGGGCAATGGACTCTATGGCATTATACCCTGCTGAGGTCCCTCTGCACCCCAAACTCTACCCTTCCCAGGCTCTACCCCTCAAATCTACAGGTATTTCCCAACTCAGGGTTGGCAACCCTGTAACTGGCTATGGAACCACTTTCCAGACCCTTGGAACCTAAAAGACACGGCATAGGAGGAGGTGCTTTTCTACCTTAGCTGCCACTGCATAACCCCAAATCAACATAAGTCAGGGGTGGAGGGAACCATACCTTTTTATCATGAGGCTGTCCTCCCATACAGCCCTGACTTAGAGCTAGTCCCAAATATACAAATTCCACTAGTAGAAAACACCATCAAAGATTGCCAAAACAATATATTAAACAATTATAAAGTTGGTGGTGTCACAACAACAACATTAATACATACTGTAACTATAATAAGGCATAAGATACAATATGCCCTCCTGTGACACTAGTCTTTTCCCCTTGCTGTTTGGATTTACTGCCTTATAGCTAAGCAGAAGGAAATAAACATGGCTTGCCTCCCTCTATTTTACCCTTCCCTCTGCCGGCCTACCAGCCACAGCCGGGACACTCACCTGGAGCCTTCTTCTAGAACTCATTGTATTTCTTCCCACAATGGGCCTTACTCCTAGTATATAATAAAACAAATATGTTTATTCAGTTAGTGAGCATGATGTAATTCCTTCCTACTCCAGCCTGCTAGCTGACACAGAGCTGGGAGGTATGTTAAACTTAAAAGTTTGTCCTTTCAGCAGTTCTTCCTTAAATACCATAACTAGACAGCTTATTTATTATTTATTTATTATTTACATTTTTATCCCGCCCTCCCTGGAGGCTCAGGGCGGCTTACACGGCATATCGCCAAATCATACAATAGAACAATAAAAACATTAAAAATATTAAAACACATCACAGTCATAAACAGATTTTTGGTGCTCCTCTCCTAAAAACAAGATGGCCATCTCCTAAAACGTCCCATTCTCACCCAAAGTGCCCGCATCATGATGACCCTGTACAGAAATCATGGGGCGTTGGTGGTACAATGGCAATGGTGGCTCCTATTCGAACGCCTGGCGGAAGAGCTCCATCTTGCAGGCTCTGCGGAACTGTGCTAGGTCCCGCAGAGCCCTGATCTCCTCTGGAAGCTCATTCCACCAGATAGGAGCCGCCACCAAAAACGCCCTGTTCCTGGTCATGACGAGTTTGATGACCTGGGGACCTGGGACGTCCAGTAAGTTCTGATTCCCCGACCGTAGTGCTCTTGGGGGAACATGTGGGGAAAGGTGGTCCCTTATGTAGGCTGGTCCCTGGCCATATAGGGCTTTAAAGGTAATAACCAGCACTTTGAAGCTGTAGTGTATCAGGCCCCGACAGGGCCGGGCATGCCTGGGCTTGTCCAGGCACAAATTCCTCAACCTTCATGCTAAAAGACAATGGGCACGTAGGATCCTAGCCAGGCCCAATGAAAGGGCTAGGTCCCAGGCCAAGAGGCCAATAGGTCTCTTGGTTACTGTAAATAGCCTATCGGGAGTGGGGGGGGTGTTTGGTGGTGGGTTTCTCTGAGGGAATATAAGCCGGCCTGCGTGCTGACTAACTTGTCTTGTTCCTGACTAAATAAAGGTATGCTTGGCTGAAATCACTCTCCGTCTGCATACTTTTCAGAAGCGAACCCGGTACGCTATAGGCAACCAGTGCAGCACTTTCAGCACAGGCTGGATGTGATCTCGTCTAGGAAGATCCATCAACAGCCTGGCTGCAGCATTCTGCACTAGTTGCAGCTTCCGAATTTGCGACAAAGGCAGCCCCATGTAGAGAGCGTTACAGTAGTCTAGCCTCGAGGTGACCGTCGCGTGGATCACAGTGGCTAGGTCATCCCGGTCGAGGAAGGGAACCAACTGCCGTGCCAGCCGAAGGTGGTAAAATGCCGACTTGGCAGTGGCTGCTACCTGGGCCTCCATCGTTAACGAGGAGTCCAGGAGCACCCCCAAACTCCTAACCTCCGACGCCGGCACCAAGGGCGCCCCGTCGAAGGTCAGGAGAGGGAGCCCCAACCCCGGACCGATCCGACTCAGCCCCAGGACCTCCGTCTTTGCCGGGTTTAATTTCAGCTTGAACAAGTTCACTGTTTTTATCTGGGAACAGCACCCAAACCCTGCTGTCAAAATCAATTACTACAGTCCCTACTGGACTCCCTGCCTAGACCGGGATACCTCCTATCATGTTCCCCTCCAAAATCCAACTGCCCCATTTGTCTATTGGCTGTTGACAGTTAAACTCCCTCAAAATTCCCCCTCCCATTCCATTCAGCCTGTTTGAATCCAATTGGTCAGTTCAAACAGGGAGAAAAGAGGGTGGAATTTTCTTCTCTTCATCACAACCCTGACCTGGATAATCCAAGCTTGCCCAGTCTTGCCAGATTTTGGTACCTAAAGAGGGCCAGGTAATTACCTGGATGGATGGGAGATGACCATGGAAACTCGGAGTCACAGAGTCAGGCAACAGCAAACCACCTCCAGTTTTCTCTTGACTTGAAAACCCTATGGGCTCTGTATAAGTTGGCTGTAACAGGGTGGCCCAAAAAAAGGCAGCACAACAGCTGGCTGGCTGGTGGGGCCAAATATGGTTCCTTGTGCCAAAGTCCAAACTTCCTTGCTATACCACCGGAAGAGAAATGGATCAAGTAAATATATACATAGCATTGTCTCTAAAGAATAGCCTGTATTTGGCGTCTAAGGAGGGCTCGTCTGGACCCATGCGAGCATTTAGATCTCCCACTAGAAGAATAATAGATTTAGGGTATGTTTCAACTATCCCCCGAAAAGAGAGGTTATGTATGTGTGCGTCTGGGGAGATCGAATCCCAGGAACACGTGTTCCTGAGGTGCCCATTATATAACGAGGATCGTACAAAACTAATCGATCCTTTTCTGGCTGGCACTTCAGACCAGGATAAGATAGAAAATTTGTTTTCTAACTTTGAACATAGAGCGCTGCATCAGATTGCGAAATTCTGCCTACTGGTTGTAAAAGCTCACCAGTGTTCTGGTTGTCACTTGGGTTAAGACTGCTTGTTTTTAATTCTATTGCCATTTTTGCCATTTTTATCATTTTTACTCTTTTAACTGCGTTTTATTGCAGCGTATTCTTAAGCTTGGTTTTAGTGATCAAAACGATTGTACAAATGTTGCCTCTTTTTAACCCTGTTGTATTTTCGGTAGTTTTATCATCCGGTTATTGTAATTTATTTTTTTAAGGTTTTATATTGCTGGCTATGCGCTGTAACAATAAAATTCATTCATACATAGCATTGTCTGCAAGCCTCCATAATGAACTTCCAGGCTAAACAGTGATTAGAATTCCCTTCCCAAACATATCATTTAACACCTACTAGCATATTATTCATGGTAAGCAACTGGCAGTGATTGGACAAAATTGGGTGCAGTTTGTCAAGACATCTGGGTTCATCTTCTCTGTTTAAAGCTCCGTCTTTGCAGCATTCTGGACACAGCCCCATGGATATCCTTGTTGCGCAGGGAATAAATGATCGGATTGAGCAGTGGGGTGACCAAAATATATAGGACCGCAAGTTCTTTGTCACGATCAGGTGCTGCATCTGACCCGGGTGTCAGGTACACAAAGATGAGGATGCTGTAGAATAAGATGACCACTATCAAGTGGGAGGCACACGTGGAGAAGGCCTTGCGCCGCCCGGCTGCTGACCGCATGCGTATCACAGTCACCAATATGAGCATGTAAGACATGAGGATAACAAAAAAGGGAATTACAATAGCCAGTGCAGCCACTGTAATAATAGTGAGCTTTGTCTCACATATGTCAGCGCATGCGAGCTTCAACACAATGGGCATGTCGCAGAAAAAATGATTGATGCGGTTGGGACCACAGTAGGGAAGGTGAAGGGTGATGCCCACATTTACTGAAGCAAGAACGAAGCCAGTTGCCCAAGAGGCTGAGGCAAGCTGAACTTGACGCCACCTACCCATGGCGGTGACATATAGCAGGGGACGGCAGATGGCCAAGTAGCGGTCATAAGCCATGGCGCCCAGCAGAAAACACTCGACGCTACCCAGGCAAATCACCATGTACATTTGAAAAGCACACCGGGTGAAGGAGATGGCTCCGTTTCCAGCAAAGAGATGAGCCAGCATCTGGGGCAGGCTGGAGGTGACATAGAGGATCTCCAGGACCGAAAGATTTGAGAGGAAGAAGTACATGGGGGTGTGGAGGGAGGCGTCGCCTTGTACCAGCATGATGATCACGAGGTTCCCCACCACGGTGAGGGCATAGATGAGGAGGATGACCAGGAAGAGAAGAATTTGTGTCTTGCGATGGTTGGTGAGTCCTACCAGAATGAATTCTGTGACAGAAGAGAGGTTCTCAGCCCCCATCGTGGGCTCCTGTCTGCAGAGAAAGGGCAAGAATCAGCGATGTAGACATGTGTAGCTCTCTGTCACATGGAAGTAAACAGTTCAGCTCAGTACCTTTACCGGCATAGATTGAAAGCGCGACAAGAACCACAGTTTTAATATACAAATCATCGCTCCAGAGCATTAACATTATATCCCCTAACCCTCGTAACAATCGAGAAATACCTCGCTATTGAGAAGGTAATATGGGGGCACTGGTCCGATAAAAGGAAGGAGATAGGCCTCTGTCCCGGATAGCTTTGCCTGTTGTGCAAAAGGGGACTCAATTAAAACATCCCATACTTTAACATAAAGTTCACGGTGAAGCCAAATGTGAGTAATTGATTCTGGTTTTTTTTACTGCTACATAGATCCTTTCATGGTAAGGAACATTCACAAATCTCCCAGTGTCCTTCCATGCTGAAGGAAGGACGTTGTAAACACAGCCCATCAAATGTAACATCATGAGCTCAGTCGAAACAAAAGCAAGAGTCTCTATCAGTGTTCCCTTTCAGAATGTATGTCACAAGTGTCCCATAGCATGAGGGCGTGGAGTCCAGACACATAATATTGCTGCTCTGCTGTAGTAAAGATCATCCCAACCTTCAGTCATGTTTGGTTGGATCCAGCCAGATGTCTCCCTTCTGAACAAGGGAGGAGGGGGGCTTTTGGGTCACCAGAAAAGGAGAACCAGGAGACCAACATGGAAAAAAAGCATTTAGAATAGAGGCTGTAGCAAGGTGGGCAAGATTCAAGTCCTGCAGCAACTTAGACCAATAAGATTTCCAGGGTATTTCTTGAATGTTTATACCCTGGGAATATTGTTGGTCTTTAAGTTGCTACTGACAAGCTTTGTTGGTCTTTAAGTTGCTAGTTTTTAAAGTTGCTACCAAGAACATTCCCATGGTGTAAGCTTTCGTGAAAGTTTATACCCTGGAAATCTTGTTTATTTCTAAAGCCTGGGACTCCTCAGCAGTTTCTAGTGTTGAACGACTACAAGCCACGGTCACTAGAGGGCCCCTCCACATCCAGAGGCAGAAAAATTCTCAATGCCAGTGCTAAGAGGCAATACTGGTGAAGGCTTTGGCCTCTGTTGGCCATCTTGGGGTTTTTTTGTATGCCGTGTGCAACTTTTTTTTAAGAACCAGGGGAAAAACCTAGGATCTGTAATGTTATCCTCAAGGCAGGAGGCGGATCATGAAACAACTCTCCGATGCTGACTGTGTGAACCCATTGGAAGTGAGGAGAAGGAGATGCCTAGATCCCCCAAAATCCTGAATGTCTCCCAATTTGTAGATGGCGGCTCAAGTGGTTAAGACGCTGAACTGTAGGCTGTGGAAGGTCGGTAGTTCAGCAGTTCGAGACCCGAGTGTGCCGCATGATGGAGTGAGCTCCTGTCTCTAGTTCCAGCTCCTGCCAACCTAGCAGTTCGAAAGCAAGTTTGCAAGGAGATAAATAGGTACCACTTCGGTGGGAAGGTAACAGCGTTCAGTGCGCCTTGGTGTTTAGTCATGCCGGCCACATGACCACGGAAACGTCTTCGGACAGCGCTGGCTCTTCGGCTTTGAAACGGAGATGAGCACTGCAACCCTAGAGTCGGACTCGACTGGCTTTCGAGCAAGGGAACCTTTACCTTTTTACAGATGCGAACTAGGGCAGCCAGCTCCAGTTTGGAAAATCCCTGGACATTTGGGGAGGGAACACTTGAGACGGCAGGGTTTAGGGTAGGACGGACCGCCCGTGGAGCATAATGCTATATCATTTGCAATCTAAAGCAGCCTTTTCTTCTCCAAGAGAACCGCTCTCTGTAGTCAGGAGATCAGTTGTCATTCCATGGGATCTCCACGCCACGCATGGAGGGCTGGCAACCCCAGTATGAACTAAACCATGCCTGTGCGCAGGGAAATTCTCCTGCAAACCACCAAAATGTTTCCCTTGACCTTGTGTGTGTAAAGTACCATCAAGTCGCAGCCAATTCATGGAAACAACAGTAAGGGGCTTTCAAGGCAAGCGAGAAGAAGAAGAAGAAGAAGAAGAAGAAGAAGAAGAAGAAGAAGAAGAAGAAGAAGAAGAAGAAGAAGA